TTCTTCTATTTCAGTCCAGCCAGTTATTTTTTTATTTTTTATTTTTTAGAAAAGCGGTTTTGCTATGTTTTCCCCAGGTTGGCCTTGAACTCCTGGGCCCAAGCAATTCTTTCACGTACCCAGGATTACAGGAGCAAACCACAACACCTGCCTAGTCAGTGTTTTATTTTGTTTTGTTTTTGAGACAGATTCTTACTCTGTTACCCAGGCTGGAGTGCAGTGGCGCAGTCTTGGCTCTCTGCAAGCTCCACCTCCCAGGTTCAAGCAGTTCTCCTCCCTCAGCCTCCCGAGTGGCACCCACCACCATGCCCAGCTAATATTTGTATTTTTAGTAGAGACAGGGTTTCACCACGTTGGCCAGGCTGGCCTTGAACTCCTGACCTCAAGTGAGCCATTGCGCCCAAGCAACTAGTCATTGTTTTTGATGATGAAACATCCCATGTAAAGACCAAGATCTTTTTTTTTTTTAATTCTTTTTTCTCTCTCTCTTTTATTCATACCTGGTGATCAGGAAATTTATTTTTCCAAATCCTGAATGGAATCAGACCAAGATCATTTTCTGACAATTTCAGAAATATCTCAGTCCAATGGACCCTCTATGTTTTCTATATTTTCAAGTTATTTTATAGGCTGGGCATGGTGGCTTATGCCTGTAATTCCAGCACTTTGGGAGGCCAAGACAGAAGGATTGTATGAGCCTGGGAGTTCAGGACAAGTCTGGGAAATATAGTGAGACTTATCTGTATGAAAAAATTTTTAAAAATTAGCCGGGTGTGGTGTTATGCACCTGTGGTCTTAGTTACTTAGGAAGCTGAGGTAGAACCATTGCTTGAGCCCGAGAGGTCGAAGCTGCAGTGAGCCGAGATTATGCCACTGCACTCCAGCCTAGGCCACAGAATGAGACCCTATCTCAAAAAAAAAAAAAAAAAAAAAAAAATTCATCATCATCTGTATACTTCGTTATATTCTTCCATCTATATTCTACCTTTGTATATCTGCCTTTAGCATTTGTCCACTTATGAACTGTATCAAGTAAAATTTGACATACAAATATCATAAAAGATGAAAGAATATAGTTACATGTCATTTGAGCATAACACTGTGATCCATGGTCTTATTATAAAACATTACATGATAAAGTCTTTCTTGCTGAATGACTGACTATACAAGAATACCTTATTTCCCTTTTGTCCTTAGAAATATATTGTTCGCTCATCAGTTCTTGAATTTGAGGAAATTCATCTAGTGTATTGTCATATGAAGACTCTTAGTCTGAAATTTTGCTTGTAAGATCAGTTTCACTATCATCATTAGGTCTGGATGCCTGCTCTTCGCCTCTTTGTATTCATCTTCCGATTTGTCTAAGAATCATGAAATATCTTCCTCTGTCCATTTTCTTCTCATTAACAGTAACTTAAAAATGTTGGATTCTGAATTATGTTCAATGAAAGTTAAATGCAGACTACAAATATAGTGTCTCCAATCATTTATACCTTATTTAAAAATGACACAATATTTTGGGCAATGCCATAAAAAAAAAAAAGGAAGGATAATGCAATCATGATTACTTATTTTACAATTGCATTTTTAAAACATTGTTGTAAATAATTTAAGATATAGAAAAAAATAGGATTACCAAGATCCTGTAATGTACCTTAGATTTATAAAAAGTGGGCCCTTATGGTAATTACAAGATAGAATGAGTTTTATTCTATTTTTAAATCTAAGGCCAGGCATGGTGGCGCATGCCTGTAATCCTAACACTTTGGGAGGCTGAGGCAGCCTCAAGCCCAAGAGTTCAAGGCCAGCCAGGACAACATAATGAAATCCCATCTCTATGAAAAATAAAAAGTTAGCCAGGCACACTTGTAGCCCAGGTACTTAGGAAACCGAGGCAGGAGGATTGCTTGAGCTCAGGAGGTCGAGGCTGCAGTGAACTATAATCGTGCCATTGTACTCTAGCTTGGGCAACAGAGCAAGACCCTGTCTCAAAATAAATAAATAAAAATATAATTTATCTTTGTTCTTTGGGAGACTCTAAAAAGAATCAAATTATGAACTAGCAATTCTCCCAAGTAGTAAGGAATTGCTACAAAAAGAAAGTAAAACCCTGGGACAGGAGAGGTGGCTCATGCCTGTAATCTCAGCACTTTGGGAGACCAAGGCAGTAGGACTGCTTGAGCCTAGGAGTTCAAGGCCAGCCTGGGCAAAATAGTAAGACCCTGTCTCTTGGGGAAAAAAAAAGAAAGTCAAACACTAAAATTGGGTCCAGTGGACCCTGAGGTTATACCAAGGACTGAGTTGACCAAAAATATACAATGACTATATTAATGAAACTTTTATTGTAGAGTCAACCAGAATAGAAATTATACTTGTTAGTTTTATACTTTTTTTTTTTTTTTTACTAAAGCTTATAGGAGTTTGCTGGACTTTGCATCTTTCTGTTTCTACTCTTCACCCTATTTGTGCAGTATAGATGAAAAGAGTAAATTAACTTTTTTTTTTTTTGAGACGATATCTCACACTGTCACCCAGACTGGAGTCCAGTGGCATGATCACAGCTCACTGTAGCCTCAACCTCCTGGGCATATGCCATACTACCAGCTCAACCTTCAGAATAGCTGGGACTTCAGGTGCGTGCCACCCTGCCACACTAATTTTTTTTTTTTTTTTTTTTTTTTCTGAGGCGGAGTTCTGCTCTTACCACCCGGGATGGACTGTAGTGGTGCAGTCTTGGCTCACTGCAACCTCTGCCTCTCGGGTTCAAGCAGTTCTCCTGCCTCAGCCTCCTGAGTAGCTGGGACTACTACTACAGGCAGGCACTGCCACACCCGGCTAATTTTTTTTTATTTTTAGTAGAGATGGGGTTTCATCATGTTGGCCAGGCCGGCCTGGAACTCCCAACCTCGTTGATCTGCCCATCTCGGCCTCCCAGCTGCCAGGCTAATTTTAAAAAAATTTTTGTAAACACAGGTCTCACTTTGTTGCCCAGGCTAGGCTCAAACTCCTGGGTTCAAGGGATCCTCCCACCTCAGCCTCTCAAAATATTGGGATTACGAGCATGAGCCTCTGTGCCTGGCCATTATCTTCTCCGTGACTAGGGACTTCTTTCTCCTGTTCATTTTATTTGCAGGAGCCTGCTTTGTCTCATGTCTTTTCTCCAAACCTCCATTCTCTATCAAAGCCCTTGATAAAGTTCACTGTTGAAGTGAAGTGAATCTCGCAGAGCACAGGGCACTGCCAGCATCCTAGTTGGGAAGAATCTCTAAGAGGCGTGCATGCCAAGCACAGTATCATTGTGCACAGGCATTGTAGGAGTCTGCCAAATCCAAGGGTAGGCTGCCAGTACAAATGCCACGTTGACATGACATTTACAAGTTTAGAATTTGATAAAGGACTGGCAGTGGAACACCTTCAGATACCTCATTCAGGATGGCAGTAACTAGGCCAGCTTTTGATTTTCAGACTCAGAAATCACAGTCAGGAAGTAATACTCCATAAAGAATTTAAAACTATCACTACAACTTTTTCTAGGAAATGATAAATCCTGTTAGTCTATTCCTGGGATGCATGATAAACCATAATGGCTAAGAGTACAGACTCTCGAGTCAAACCTGGATTTGAATGAGGCCTCTGTCACTTACTCTGTAACCCTGAGCAAGTTTAAGCCTTAATTTCCCATTTATAAAATAGGGATAATAATGCTGCTTTCTCATAGGATTATCAAATGGATTAAATAATATATTTATTCATCTTTTTTTTTAATTTATTTTTGTTGAGATGGAGTCTCACTCTGTCACTCAAGCTGGAGTGCTGTGGCACGATCTCAGCTCACTGCAACCTCTGCCTCCCGAGTCTAGTGATTCTCCTGCCTCAGCCTCCTGAGTAGCTGGGACTACAGGCATGCACGACTACGCCCAGCTAATTTTTTTGTGTTTTTAGTAGAGACGGAGTTTCACCTTATTGGTCAGGCTGGTCTTGAACTCCTAACCTCAAGAGATCCACACCTTGCCTTGGCCTCCCAAAATGCTAGGATTACAGACGTGAGCTACCACGCCCGGCTGTTAATATATTTAAAAGTATATGCACTTTTCACATTCTTCAGAAATTCATGAGAAATTTAGTTTTTCAGTTCTTATATTTCAGTAATAAGTAGATGTATTATAATTTACCAGGGAGATGTCGTCACAACATGAACTTGTGTGTAGACTCTTTCCTTGACTTAGACAATACTGGAACACTATGCATAGGCACCCAGGATGTAGTTTCCCCTCTCCAGGAAAACTTAGAGCTGGAGTCCAGGTCATTTAAATACTTCAAATCTCTACAGTGTCTTAGATGCAGAAACCATTTTGATGTTAAGAATTCATTTCAGGGGTCGGGCGCGGGGGCTCATGCCTGTAATCCCACCACTTTGGGAGGCAGAGGCAGGCGGATCTCGAGGTCAGGAGTTTGAGACCAGCCTGACCAATATGGTGAAATCCCGTCTCTACTAAAAATACAAAAATTAGCCGGGCATGGTGGCTCGCGTCTATAGTCCCAGCTACTCAGGGGGCTGAAGCAGAAGTATCGCTTAAACCCAGGAGCCAGAGGTTGCAGTGAGCCGAGATTGCACCCCTGCACTCCAGCCTGGCGAAAGAGCAAGACTCTGTCTCAAAAAAAAAAAAAAAAATTCATTTCAGCAATAGCAGTCCTTTGATTGACCTGGAATCTTTCTGTGGCACATTCTAATGCAAAATGAAGACCTAGAGCTATTCTGAAGGGTATTCTGAGGGCTTCTTAGGGACAATAATAAATTTTCACATAGGTGACAAGGTACTTGGCCTTAATTAAGTCTTTCACTGTGATCTAGTACCTAAGTAATAGGCTTTTCTGTACCACTTGAATAAAATATAATCCTTACTACAGAGCTTAGTTTATTTCTTTTAATCACTTTTAGTACCATAAGTAAATTCTCCCAAATGATACAATTCTTTTTTTTTTTAACCCTTGTTTTTCAGATCTTCAAAGCTGCTGCGGGCATTCTATGTCCCCTTCCTGTCAGATCAGTATACAGTATATGTAAACTACACCATCCTCAAACCCCGGAAAGCAAAGCAAATCAGGAAGAAAAGTGGAGGTTAGCAACACACCTGTGGCCCCAAAGGACAACCGTCTTGTTAACTAGTGATTCCAGTGACCTGATTCCCTGCAAGTCATCGCCTGTAACATTTGTAATAAAAGTCTTCTGACAGGAATACTGGAATCTGGGTGCTCTGGGCTAGTCAAAGTCTATTTCAAAGTCTAGTCAAAGTCACATTTGCTTCTTGTGTGTGTGTCTGTTCTGCATGTAAACTTTGTGCAGCTAGGCAGAGAAAGGCCCTAAAGCACAGTTAGATATATTGCTCCACATCTCATTGTTTTTCCTCTGTTCAATTATTTACTAGACCGGAGAAGAGCAGAACCAACTTACAGGAAGAATTGAAAATCGTGGGACTGGATGGCTGTGTTAAGCTGTTCTCCACACTCTGGCCTGGCATCTGAGAACTAGCAAGCCTCTCTTAGGCCATATGGGCTTCTCCACCAAAGCTGTTTGGCAGCTCCTAGCAGACCTTCTTGATCAAATCCTCGTGCTGTAAATGAACACAGCCTAGTTGCCAACCCACATGTCCTTTTCACCTGCAGCAAGACTAAGCTTCTATAAAGCACTTCACAGGACTAGGACCCTGTCCTGGAGCTATCTCAGGAAAAAGGTGACCATTTGAGGAACTGTGACCTAATTTTATTATAATGATGCCTGTAATTTTTATTTCCTTTACAATCAACTGTAACTATTTGGTTGTATTTTTATTTTTTGTTTAGTGTTAGCACACTATTTTTTGAATTCTAGACTCCTCTGTGTAAAGATGTCAACAGACCAAACTACAACTGTATAGGATATATTTGGAGAAAATTAATTCTATCAATTGGTAGATTTGGATGACATCACATTTTTAAGTAATGTATTCTGAAGCCATTGCTGAGGAATAAGAATTTTCTTTTTTTTTTTTAAACCACCCCCAGTGAAAAGGACCAGTGTATATTTACAGCACTTATTTTTCAGTTCTGTCTGTTGCGAGGCACATCCTGCATGGGGCACTTCTAGTCAAATAGGCAATGATAAAGACCTAATTAAAATGTACTAAGTATATACTATTATTTTAAAAGCCTTTACAGTCAGTACTGCAGTTTACAAGGCACTTTCATAGCATCTCATTTGATCCTCACAGTCACAACATGTGGTAGACAAGGCAGGGATTTGTATCCCCATTTTACAGATAAGGAAACAGGCTGGGGGGTGGGGAGTGAGGGGAGATAAGCGTAGTTGCCTGAGGTCACACATCCAGTAAGTGATAGAGCTGGGACTGGAACCTAGGTTTCCTCACTCTCATCTATTGCTCTTCCATATTCCTCACTCAACCATGAAAACATTACTTGAAAGGACTGATGAGGTTAACCAGAGACCCAACTGTTATTGTAACTTTCTATTTTAAGGAAGAATTGTATCTGTATTTCTTTGAGTTCTTTGGAGGCTCCAGTCTGCTTGTGTGTTAGACCAGCACAGCAGTGCTGTGAGATGCAGCCTGACCTGTGGCAGGAAAGTAGTGCTTATGTTTGGAAGTCATGTTTTTTTGCAGCCACACAGGATCCAAATATCAGTACTATTCCTGTAGTCAATCTGGGGTCACATTATAGGTGCCTTATTTCCCTAAGGGTAACTGTTTTGAATATCTGCAAATAGGATGAATCTATTTTTCAGAAGTTCTATCTTTCATTTTCTTTTTTTTTTTGAGACAGTTTCATTCTGTCACCCAGGCTGGAGTGCAGTGGCACAATCTTGGCTCACTGCAACCTTTGCCTCCTGGGTTCAAGTGGTTCTCCTGCATCAGCCTCCCAAGTACTTGGGATTACAGATGTGTGCCACCATACTGGCTAATTTATGTATTTTCAGTAGTGTCAGGGTTTTACCATGTTAGTCAGGCTGGTCTTGAACTCCTGACCTCAGGTGATTCACCCACCTTGGCCTCCCAAAGTGCTGGGATTACAGGCATGAGCCAATACACCTAGACTGATCTTTCATTTTTTCAAAGAGAAGGGCATTCTAATAGGAACTGATGCCAAGACAGGAGAAAAGAAGCTATAACAGAAGAAATGGCTAGTTACCGTATTAAAAAGCTCATCTTTGAGATCTCCTCTGCAGGAATATCAGAGACACTGGAGAGGTAATAGGTCTAGACAGTACAGAAGAATAACTGGGGAGTGTGTGAAGATAGAGTGGGCTCCCACTTGCTTGAAAGGTCTCTGGCATTTAATTCTCAATACTTGATTACTGTTTTCCAAAGTAAAATTGGCACATGTGATCTGACTACAGGACAGAGAATTATAGGTGAAACATCTTGCCTTACTTGCAGTAATGGTGTGCTGTTCTTCAGAGTAGCTAAGGCCCTCAGCCCTCTATGTTTTGCACAGGTAAATAAGAATCCAGGAATGGAGGTCCACCTATGATGAGTGGCTTTTTTCTAATCGAAGTAGTATAATGCTGATCTGTTTTATCATCTTGCTTTAAAAAACAAACAACAACAAAAAACCTTAATTATAATATAGCACAAAGGCCAGGATTGATGCAGAGATTCCTTAAAAATAGAAATATCAGTTCCCTATCCCTTTTAAAACCTGATTTTGGATCTCTCTGTTCTATGTATTTCTTTAGCGAGAGCACAATAAATGGCAGAACACTGTACCAAATATTATAGGCAAGGAATATAGAAATGAATGATTTTTGTTGTGAAGGTGTTTTTCTTTTTTGAGATGGAGTTTCGCTCTTGTTACCCAGTCTGGAGTGCAATGGCGCGATCTTGGCTCACCGCAACCTCTGCCTCCTGGGTTCAGGCAATTCTCCTGCCTCAGCCTCCTGAGTAGCCGGGACTACAGGCATGCGCCACCATGCCCAGCTAATTTTTTGTATTTTTAGTAGAGATGGGGTTTCACCATGTTGACCAGGATGGTCTCCATCTCTTGACCTCGTGATCCACCCGCCTTGGCCTCCCAAAGTGCTGGGATTACAGGCGTGAGCCACTGCACCCGGCCGAAGGTGTTTTTCATGTGATATTTTATAAACACATTTTTTAAAATCTTCATCACTTTGTAATATAGGAAGGATAGCTTTGCCTGGGAAAAATAATTTCAAAACACCTGCTCAGAGTAGCATTTCTCCCTCAAAAAATCAGTGTTCAGCCTGAGCTGACTGTTCTTCTTGCCATAATGAGGAAGCGTGCAAGATACTTATTTCTCCATAGACTGTTGAGTATAGAGGGATATGGGACTACAGAGAATTTTTTTTTTCCCCAAGACAGAGTCTTGCTCTGTCGCCTAGGCTAGAGTGCAATGGTGCCATCTTGGCTCACTGCAACCTCTGCCTCCTGGGTTCAAGCAGTTATCCTGCCTCAGACCCCTGAGTAGCTGGGATTACAGGGATGTGCCACCACACCCGGCTAATTTTTGTATTTTTAGTAGAGATGGGGCTTCACCATGTTGACCAGGCTAGTCTCGAAATCCTGACCTCATGATCCGCCTGCCTTGGCCTCCCAAAATTTTGGGATTACAGGCATGAGCAACCGCACCTGGCCCAGATAGTTTTTAATAGCCTTAGATCATAGGCTGAGTGAGGGAGTAGGTGTACTTGGTAAATTCATGGTTCTCTGATTTCTAGCTCTAAAGCAGCCTTATCTGAACCCCCAAATCTTGTGATGCTGAGTACCATTACTGAACCAGTCTGCACGGTAGGCATCTATTATCAAAATTTACCTCCTGACTGGTAGGTGTCATATGATAAGAAAGACAGATTATTTTAATCTTTCGGGATAATCAGAGAAAATTGCAGCCCATACTCTTTATTACTGAATTCAAGTTTGGAAATAGGCCCTTTGTTTTAAATGATGATGGCCTTTATCCCAACCATTTATTTGGGTCATTTTTCCAACTTTGGATTTCTAGGAGAGAACCTTGAAAACCTGACATGATTCTGCAGCGTGAGGTCTGGGGTGACCATTTGGGTAAAGCTCCAATGGCAATCATTTATTGCATTTTGCATTTCCTGGGATTTATTGAAATAATAAATCACTGTGATTATATAGTCTTCTGGCCAGTATCAGGCAGCTCTGCTTTTAATTTGGTTAATTTCATTTTCTCTGAAGAGGGAGAAGAGGCACAATTTAATCTTTGCCTCCACAAGCATATTAAAGCTCATGTGTTAATCAGTGCATTCTTATGCTCTTACATTAAATGCCTTGGATAAATGGATAAATGGACGTGTGCCCAGCTTTAATTTTTTTTTTGCAACAGAAAGATCAGACTTCCCTACGGCATTGTTGGATTTCAGAGGCTCTTTGGTTTATCTGTAAATCTGAATGTTGCCTTTAATTTTGCCAGTCTAGATAACCATGTAATTCATGCTGCAAATGAAATCAGGAAGCAGTAAAGTGTTAAAGCAAAAGTATTGTCCAATTCACTTGTCTTCCTGATCCTTGTACTGTGTCAGTGTTTACATTACATACTTATATTTCCTGTGAAAGAAAAATAAATTGTAGCAGTTTGATTTTCCTTTTCTTAATGTGACATTTTTTCTTTTGCTTTTAAATCTTGGAAATTGGAAACTGAAGGAGCTCAACTCCTTTCTCCCTGACTCCAGCCCTATCCCTCAGTGTGCAGACGTGACTTCTACAGGCCAAATATCCCAGAATGTTTATTGTGAAAACTTTAAAAGAAGACTTTGGGAAACCCGGTGAGGATTAGTTTTATTTTTCCTATGTTAAAACAACACACAATAAGAATTAATACGTGGGCCGGACAGAGTGGCTCACACCTGTAATTGTAGCACTTTGGGAGGCTGAGGTGGACAGATCACCTGAGGTCAGGAGTTTGAGACCAGCCTGACCAACATGTAGAAACCTCATCTCTACTAAAAATACAAAATAGCCAGGCATAGCAGTGCCTGCCTGTAGTCCCAGCTACTTGGGAGGCTGGGCAGGAGAATTGCTTGAACCCGAGAAGCAGGGGTTGCAGTGAGCCAAGATGGTGCCACTGCACTCCAGCCTGGGCAACAAGAGCAAGACTCTGTCTCTAAATAAATAAATAAATAAAATTTTTTTTTAAAAAAAAGGAATTAATATATGAACATTGTACCTGAAAGAGATGAAGTTCCTAGATCCATCTTAAGTTTTTGGAATAAGAATCACTGGACTATGAGAGTCTAATTTTCTTAGAAATCTTGATCCAGTTATATCTAACACTTAGGTAATTTCCCCCTTTGTTGGGGTTGTCAGAAGGAATAAAACTTTTTTTTAAATTTCTTTTTTTTATATTTTAGAAATGGCACCTGCTATATTGTTCAGGGTAGCCTTGAACAATATACAGTCCTGCTCAACCTCTTGATTGGCTAAGACTACAGGCATGCACCACTGCACCCAGCTGGAATAATTTTTTTTTTTTTGTAAATGAATTTCTAATGTTCTTGCTATGCCATTCACTTTATATCCTATAACTTCTAGCAGCTATCTGGTTTTGTGCCATTGGTTATCATTCTTCTTCCCATAGAGCCCCAGATGCCCTTAACTTGGTTTGATATATTTCTTCCAAATTGTTTGAGGAAAGGATGCTTTCAGTAGTATAATTCCAGGAAGGAGAAGTCCAAACCTTAATTTCTTTTCCCTTCTCTAGAATGTCATCTTTCTCTGTGTTTGTTACTTTTACTTTTAGGGCTGAGTCTCGTTTTTCTAAGAAGGCTTTCTAGACTTCAGACCCTTTGGTTCTTTATTTTCAGAGCCTTCTTGACTATCCAGTGTCCTTACTAATGGCATAGAACCTTAACATATAAACCATGCAAACCTGCCTGCCAAGGACATTGTTGGCATGCGAGGGGCAAAGACCACATCACACTCCTATGTATGTCAACATGGTTCCCTGAACATTTTGGTCCTGTACATGCTTATTGATAATGAAGAAAGAAAAGCAAAAAGAGACATGGGACTAATGTACAAACCGTTGCTCTCAACTTGGCATGGATTAGACCTTAGAAAATATGGCAAGTTGGTTGGACATAGCTCATGCTTGTAATTCCAGCACTTTGGAAGGCTGAGGCAGGCGGATGACTTGAGGTCAAGAGTTTGAGAACAGCCTAACATGGTGAAACTCGCATCTCTACTAAAAATACAAAAATTAGCCAGATGTGGTGGTGGGCACCTGTAATCCCAGCTACTCAGGAGGCTGAGGCAGGAGAATCGCTTGAACCCAGTAGGTGGAAGTTTCAGTGAGCCGAGATCATGCCACTGCACTCCAGACTGAGCGACAGAACAGATTCTGTCTAAAAAGAAAAAAAAAGAAAAAAGAAAAAGAAAGAAAAAAAAAGAAAAGAAAATATGGCAAATCATAAATCCTGCCTGTAGTACTCAAAAGGGGCAATTTGGAAGATGTGAATGTGTGTATTTTGTCAATTCTCCTGAAATACAAGGGCTTCTGCACAAAAGCAGATTCCACAGGGTAGCTTCTAAAAAGAGAGAGAGGGTACCTTTATTGAATATTCCTATTGTGACTTGCTTTTGGAGAGTCAGACCTAGCCCTGGAGATCTTCTGAACAAGTTTGAGGCAGAAAGTCCCTCCTCCAGGTGTGAGGAGGTGCTCAGGACATGTAGCTACATGTCCTGCTAGGAAAAGGAAGTCTGACTGGAAGATGACTGTAGCAGTACATTAGATTGAATAATATTAAGTAGCAAGGGATATTTTAAAACTAAAAGCTGTTTTGGCTCTGTCTTCAGCTGTGGATTCAGCATAGAACTGACATTTAAACAAATGATAACCAACACATTTGAGAAATGAAATGAGGGAAATTTAGATTAGGGATGTGAGATTATGGAACTGCAGTGACAAGGAAAAACTGGGAATTTCCAATTGTAGGTTGGTAGAATAAATAGTCTGTGTTAAAATTAGCAGTTGGGTTTAAATAACATTTTGCCTGAGTATGAACTTCCCCCCACCAACCTTTTTTTTTTTTTTTTTTTTTTTTTTTAAATGAATCCTCATAAAATACTTTAGATGGTAGGGCTTTTTGTTTGTTTTTGGTTTTGCTTCTGGTTTCTGGGCTTGTTCTGTCATTACATGCCTAGAGATGAAAGTATGTAAGTTGGCTGTATGAGGTGGCTGACACCTGTAATCCCAGCACTTTGGGAGGCTGAGGTGGGAGGATCGTTTGAGGCCAGGAGTTCAAAACCAGCCTGGGCAACAAAGCTAGATCCCGCTTCTATATTTTAAAAATATGCATATATAATTAAAAGCAAGAAAAGTATATAAATGAGGCAACTTCTTGGTGGTCCCAATAGCCAAAAGATCAGGTGATTTATGACAAACTTCCTCTGATAAGGGTTTTTTGCAGACCTTCAGCCATGGATTTCAGACCTACTTGCCTTACAAGAGTTCTCTTTGACCTTCACTCCTGCACAAACTGTATTTGGCAAGTGGTGCTGTTGGCCTTTGACTGATCATTTTAACTCTGGAATCCCAAGTTGCCAAATGAGAAGGGCATGTGTTTTTGGTTGGTTGATTAGCTGCTTCAACAGCGTAGTACCCTATGCTGAAGAAGTTGTGACCTGTGAAGCAGCAGTTCTCCAATGGAGCTACAGAGACAAAACCTAGGGATCATTTAAAAATTTGCCACTATCTGGTTGACCACTCAGGAATTCTGAGTGTGTGGTCAGGGGTCAGCCCAGGCATCATTATGGATTTGTTTTGTTTTGTTTTAGATGGAGTCTTACTCTGGTGCCCAGCCTGGAGTGCAGTGGCACTGTCCTGGCTCACTGCAACCTCTACCTCCTGGGTTTAAGCGATTCTCCTGCCTCAGCCTTCTGAGTAGCTGAGACTATAGGGACATGCCACGACACCCGGCTAATTTTTGTATTTTTGGTAGAGACGGGGTTTCACCATGTTGACCAGGCTGGTGTCGAACTCCTGACCTCATGATCCACCCAACTTGGCCTCCCAAGGTGCCGGGATCACAGGCATCAGCCACCGTGCCCAGCCATCATTATGTTTTTTAAAAACATAAAATCTCTAGGTGATTTAGCTAATAGGTAGCTAGA